CTAACGATGCCTTGTGATCCGTCCATTGCTTCTGAAAGTGAAGGTTGCAGAAGTAATAGTGCACTGAGTGGGAAAAATGGCAGTGTGCCAATAATGGCGGACGGTAAAGCGAAGGGAAAAGATGAAGCAACTTTCTCAAAAATGAAAACTGAAAATGAAAGTAGCTTGAATTCCAGGGAAACTATAAACCAGCCATGCGAGAAGTATGAGTTATCTGTAGTGATAGAAGTCACCAACTCCAATGGAGGTTGAAGAAAGTACTTGTAGTAATTTTCAAGCGATTGTGTCAGTTGCAGTGGATGCTGAGGGTGAAGATGAATGTGGGCTGCTAGATTCAAATTTGCCTGAGGAGTTCCTGAAAAAAGAAAATCAACAGAACAAGCAACCAGAATGTTGATGAATAGCATAGCTACCACTATGGGGATTTCCATCTATCCGTGGAGGGAGACCAGAGATGGAAGAAGCTGTTGGTACTGTCCATAGATTTACGCAAATCCCTACCCAAATGTTAATGGATGGCTGTCTCCCAAGGCATGAATCAGAGCCTTGGTTGCTTCACGGCCTATTTTTTTGGTGTCTACGATGGACATGGAGGTCCTCAGGTTTGCTTAATAACGCTCCTCTCCTATTTCCTTAGTCCCCTTTCATTAAGTATATTGATCAACGTTTACCTTGAGGTTTATTTGCACAGTAAACTCCTGCATTTTGGTTTTGGCCGAGGAGATAGAACTTGCAAAATCAAGCTTCTGTAATGAAGGCACTTGGGATGGCTGGCAGGGTCACTGGAAGAAAGCCTTCTCAAATTGTTTCATTTGAAGTTGATGCCGAGAAGAGAAGATCTTGCAATATTTTTTTGGCTATACATAGGTGACAGATACTTGAAACCACGGATGATTCCGGATCCAAAAGTGCCTTGTTTTGGCGAGTGATGGTTTGTGGGAAGCCAATGCAAACGAGGCGGCCTGTGACATTGCACGAAAAAGAACCATTCTTTGGTGGCTAGAGGTGGAGGAGTCTATCCTGCTGCTCAAGCCGCAGTAGAGTGCCTCTCAAATCTCTCTCTCCAAAAAGGAAGCCAGGACAATATCACCGCTCATTGGAAATTTGGAAGGAGGTCGGTAGTAACTTGCATTTCAGTGTTACGCAACTTATATTGTAGCTAGTTTCAAGCTTAGAATGTAATCTTGGGAGTTTGGTGGAGGTTCAGGTCTTGACATTTCAGTGATTTTTTTTTTTTAAATATCATTTGCAACATCAACACCACATCAAAACAATACAAAAACATAACAAAATATTAAATTTAAGGGGGAAAAAAAATCAAGATTTTAGAAAAAACACTTGTTTCTTGACCTTTCCTTGATCCGCAAATTCTTACTATTCTCCAATTGGGAATCAGTCAGGGTAAAACCAACTCGTGGCCACCCAAAAGAGACATCAGATCGTAAGAGGACTCTGAAGTTCCTCAGAGTTTGAAAGGTCAAAGTTTCACACAAAGTCATATATTGACACCTTTCAAACAGGAGTTTGATGCATTTGCAACACTAGACAAGCAACAAAATCACTTTATTTCGGTAAGTTATACAGAAAACTATTTTCCTTGACATCCATCACAAATCACAAGCCTCGAAACCATACACTCTCTATTCCATGGATCAGTGTGAGGTAATACGGTAAATATTCACTTTTTGTGAATTGCTAATGGTTTGAAAACCTCAGCCCTGATCACCGTAATTTCAGCAAGTTGATTTATTTCAAGCCACAGTGACCGTTAAGAATCTTTCTTCAGGCCTTCAAAATTTCAATAGATAACTTCCCATAACTCTCAAGAGTCTGATATAGTATCTGCACTTTGTCAAACACAATAGCTTAAATTCAAATCTAAAGGGCATGAATTCTCATAAGAGTTATGGTCGACATGGTAAATGCATTAATTACATAGACACAGGCGAACTATTAAATGATTAGTAAGACATGGATTATGCAACTACATCTACACAAGAACTCAACAAAAAAAGAAATAATAAGAAAATAAAATTGACCAAATGATTTCAAGAAATGATGTGAATGGGAAAATTAGACTTACCACATGTTTTAAGGGTTGCAAGAGGAGAGCCAGCATTTGTAAAGTATGACGCGAGATCCACATGCAGGTCTTCATACAAGTTCATGAATGGGTGTGTCTGGTATTGAAATTAGAAAAAGAAAAGAAGAGTCAGATCCATGAGCGTCCACTAATAGCATAAACATGTTTTGAACATATTGAAAAGAGGCAAAAGAAGGGTGGGGTATTAGCAGCCTGCTGAGCATTAATGACATTCCATATTCATAGAGAGGAGAAAAGAGTGAAGGACGTGGAGTGCCAGTAACAGGCAGACAGCTAATTACCCCACCCAGTTTAACAATCATAGGACTTCAAATACCATCAGTTCATGTGCTGACTGTCTATCCTTCGGATCTTTCTGCACACTGTAAGAAGACAGAACCACAGAATGAAAATCAGTAACTTCACAAAATCATCTGGCCCAAAGCTACTACAGAAGCAATGAAAAGGAGTGCCAGAGCATAATACTCCAATTGAAAAAAAAAAGCAGCTTGCAGCACTAACCATGTCCTCTGGAACATGCCATAAATCAGTGCAGATTGAGTTCTCAGTCAATAATATTTCCAAAATGGAGAAAAAACTAGACAAAAATGGAAAACATTGGGCATTGATTTAAAAAGTTCATGACTTCCTTTTTTCCTTGATCCTACTTCAACCGCAAATGCACATCCTCAAAAAAGCCAAATTTATATGGAAAAAGAAAAAGTAACAAGAAATGGTGCTATCCAAGTATTAGAAGGTGCATGACGATACTTCAAGCAAGACTTATCTTTACCATGCTGATATAAATGAACAAAACTCTGGAGAAAATTGGTCGGATGATGCAGAAGGAGGAGGTTGATCAACAATAGCTTCCATGAGTTCGTAGACATTAGTCCAGCCTTCATCAAGCTCTGGAGGGGAAAATGGGAATTGGCCTGTTGCACACTCCAGCAATACCAACCCCAAGCTCCAAATGTCACTTTTATAGCCATATTTCCCCCCACTAATTCTCTCAGGCTGTAAGATAATCACACATCAAAATTCTTAAAATTTCAGATACAGGCCACATAATGGTTGCCAGAGAAAGTGGAAAAGCTGTTGCAATCAAATTTACAATCAAATTACTTACAGACATATAGTTGTATGTGCCAACAAAACTATTAGCCTGTCCAGACGTGCTTTGCATGATTGCACTCACTCCAAAGTCAGTAATCTTGACTTCTCCTCTATGATTTACCAACAAATTAGAAGGTTTTAAATCCCTGTGGATAATGTGTTTTTCACGATGAAGATACAACAAACCCTTGAGCACCTGTATTTATGGGAAAACAGATTGATGAT